AAGAGCGTAAATCAAAGAGAGTATGAAGATTTCTGGGTTTGCAAAAGTAGAAAAAGAAATAATAAAAGAGGTAACTTTTTTTAGTGGTAAGTGGAAACATTGGAGGTTACACCTCAGGAAGTTAGTGGGGCATGTGTCAACATCTAACGGAGAAAAGTGAAAGATCATTATTCATGTCCTTGGAAGATGGTATATAATGATGGTGAAACTGTTGCACGCATGTCTTGATGAGATGTTTTGAAAAAAGTAGTTATGATTAACTATGACGTCAGGAAATGAAGGAAATGAAAGGTTGCTATTCAAATCTGTTGATTACAAAAAATGGCCATTTCTGCATTGATTCGAAATAGACATTTATTGGGGGCAATTTGTTAGCTGAAGATTTCGACATTTGATAAAAATATGAAAGTTGATTTGAGAAGATCATGTTTTAAAAATAACATGAAATTTGACCTTATAAGGTTATTTTATAAAGCTCATTTTTATGATTCGACATGTCGAAAGGCAACTTAAAGTGAAAGTAATATTCCAAGATATATGAATACTTCAACAGTTACGTTGGTTGAATTCAAAGTTGAATTCAAAAGCTTCGATCGGAAAGTTTAAATTTCAAACTAATGCGTTTCACCAGGAAGACGCATGGAAGTGCCAGAATGTATGCATGTAAAAGGTGTCGAACATGGCGTAATCTCATAGAAAGACCGTTAGAGTCGAATTAGTATAAATAGGAGTCTTAGATATTAGGATTTAAGGGTGCTCACATCTTTGTACAATATACTCAAATACTCAAAGTACCAGTGTTAGAGAAACGCGTTAGTGAGACATGTATGTATGATGCACCATATTTACATTCGAAAGTTATTTACAATTAATGAAATTTCTTCATGTCATTTATATTCTATACGATTTATAGTCTAGAGTAGTTTTCTATTTATTGATTTTATAAGGACACTTTATTTTAATATCAAAGTGATTCTCTTCGTTTAAATAAGTTATCATCAAAATCTTTTTCCTAAAAACTAGAACACAATAGTCCTGAGATCAATCTGATCGATCTCGCAAGTTACTGAGTCTTTTTAGAGATTTAGAAGATCAGTGGTTGTTTACCAAATTACAGGGTAAACACCATGCTCTGTGTCGACTCATAACATGTTGATGCCCATGGAATACAACATTTAACCTTTATGCATCGATACATAACTTCATGCATCGACACATGATATGTTGATGTCCCTGGAAAACATTTTTGAACTTTTATGCATCGATACATAACATCATGCATCGACTCATAACACGTTTTGTCTTCAAAAATCAAAAGTTCAATTCAGTATGTGTCGACACATACGTGTTATGCATCGACTCATGAAAAATGGTTGGCTCTGTAATATGCTGTAATATTTGCTTGCATCGACTCATAACATCATGTATCAACTTATTCTGTGTTACATAACTAACATGAGTCGACTCATGCTAACATGCATCGACTCATAATACGAATTTCTGGCTCTAACCATTTTCTGTTTCATATATAAGTAAGTTTTTTTTTCAACAGCAAATAGCTATGACACATATTACCATTGTGAGCATCAATTCTGAGCAGCAAGAAGCCTGAAAGATACTTCATCTTCATCATCTTCTCAATCATCTTAATTTAACAACAACAACGAAAATCAAACATATTTGTTCAATTGGATCAAGAGATCAAGAGATAACGTTCAGCTGTGCATTCAAGTGATCTCAGTTGGGTTGGAGATTCTGAAGGGGGCTTCGAAGAAAAAACCAAGGGGTTTGTCCTTCAAGGATGGACGTGTTCTTGAGGGTTTGTTAGTCACAGTCGCACAAGTCGGATTCAGCCGTAGCGAGGGATTTGGAAATCAGAGGAATTTTTGCAAACGGGTCGTGGAAGCGGAGGATCGGTTATGGATCTTGTATGGAATCTTGATAAGGCTCATGTCAAGTGGAGGTTCTTACAAGAAGAATATCTTAGAGATTTCTTTCTGTCTGTGTAGTGTAACCTTGTATTCAAACATTCAACAAAATTGTTATAAGAGTTCTCAATTACAATTTTGGAATTGAGAGAGAGACGTATCCACACGCGAGGACGACAGTGGGGAACTTTCTTACTAAACTGCCTAACGCCAATTGTACCGGTTCGGCTGGTTAAGAGATTGTCATTCAAAACGAGATTTTTTGTGCCATGCATTTGGATAAATGAATTATATATGCAATGACATATACTTTATAGGTGCAATATACACATAACACAACACACACAAAAATGGTAGCACGTGTGGAGTACTCTAATTCAATATTTCAATTAAAACATATAATTACTTTTAATTGTGAAATTTCTATTAACAATATAATATTAGCACAGTACCGATTGTTGGCATTTACCGGAACATTCATATACGAATTTATTGTATATAATTTTCAGAAAGCATTATATGATACAAATTATTATAATACGAATTAACTCTTCAATAAAGAGAGATGAACATTTATCATTGAACATGTTAACAAGATATGTATTTACAAGAATGATAATACTGATAAGTTGTAGAATACTGACATCATTCGTAAATAAACTATATACAAAGTTCTCGCAGTTTCTTAATTTACTATATTCCCAAACTTTTGAGTAATTAATGAGTTACATCTTTATTTATTTATACGAATTTTAAACTTGAAGGAATCTATACTTAATTATAAAAGTCTAAAAATAGAATATAACTACAAGGTCAGAACAAAAAGGTAGTTCATTGGAAATTTTATGTAGTACAAATATAACAGAATGATGCAATATTCTTGCCTATAAATATTTCTGAAACAAAAATTGCATGAATAAATGAACGACAATAAATATATAATTGAACATTTTAAATATCAACTATTAAGAAATTTTCATATTCGGATTTTAATATTACAATTTTCTGATGTTCTAAATTTTATGAAAAACAATAAAATGTACTCGTAATTATTATAGTGATCTTTCTTGTGTTTAGAATGTGTCAACGGTGCAATAATTTATTCTTTGATGTTTAAATCGAATTTAAAGATTGTTAGATCTTGTGTTGGGAGTCTACTGTAAAACATGAATAAGAAGAAGATAAAATCGGTACGATGAAAGTTGCACAAAATAAATTTTAACGTGTGTGTTTACACTAAGCTTTAGGTTCGATTCGTCTCCACCAATTTAGATAAATTGGATGCAAATAGGTTGTCCGGCGAATCCCCTTCAAGATACTTTGGAAACCTTAACATGAATCGCACATTCACATTAAGCATATTCATCAACGATATTTTATAGAATAAAATTCCTTCACTTATTCTCGTGCATTAGAAAAATAAAAGAATGACTTAAATATAATTTTTGACACTTGAAATATACTAATTTCGTGTCTCTGCAATGCCTAACAAATGTCTATATTTATAGAGAAATTTATGTCATTTGATGAAGGGAAACAACTCTTTGAAAAAATTTATTCATGAATAATTACATTGTTTTAATTGTAATGCATTACACTTTTTTTTTAAAAGTTCATTTTTAACCATTACAACTTTTGAAATATATTTTTGAAATTTCACCAACAGGTTTGATTTTCATCACTTATTAGAGATATTTATGATCATTCTCCAGTAATTTGACTTATGCTAATATAAAGAAGTCTTTTGATCCTGTTAGTTTGACTTTTGCTAGCTTAAAGAAGTCTTTTTATCTTGTTGGGAGAAATAGTTTTATAAAGACACTGTGCACAAAGCTTTTGGCATGAGCATTTATAAGTTTGCATCGACATAAGTCATCAAAACATGTTTGTTTAGTTAAGGAGTTATGATTCTCCGTAACTCCTCTCTATTTTCCCCTTTCTATTCTATTACTATCGTTTTTAAGAGTTTTGAAGTGTATAGAAAATATTTTGACCCACCAAATATTACATTAATATATTTATATTTTTTTGTTCGTATGGATTTATGAATGTGACTGAATGAAGCAGAATAAAATGATGTAGAACGATGTTTTATTGTTGGATTAATTAAAATCGAATGAAACATAATAAAATAAAGTGGTATGAATTTTATTTCATTACATAATTTGTCATTTTTTTCCTTTCGATCAGAGAAGAAGGAAGAGTTACCCTTGCTTTGTCATAAATTATCCGAATAATAAAATGTAGAGTTTGTCTTGTTCCATCATAAAATATTCAAATGGATAAAATATCTAAATCTCCATTCCTTCAATCTCATTTTACCCGTTCATTTTATGATATCCAAACATAATGAAGAGGGTAAATATAAATGAATGAAATCTTCATTCCTTCAACTCGATTCTATTAGTTCATTTTATAATATCTAATCATAGTTTAAAATTTTGATAATGAAAAAATGAGATGATTTTGTTCATTTTATGATAACCAGAAATGGGTTAAAATTTTGATAATAAAAAGTAGAGAGAATCATGAACGTTTATTAAGAGCTTTAATATGCACATAATAGGAGTAGTGAAAGTAAGGAATATTGGCTGTTAATGAGTCTATTATTGATATTGACATACCAACACTTCTATGAACATAATAATGAACATTTGACTTTTAATATAGTAAAAATTAGATAATTTGAAAGACCTACGTTGAAGCATAAAACTCAAGTTTGGTGTCTATTCCTCCTTCTTTAGGAATCGTAATCCTTTTGGTATTAGATTCCATGCCACTACAAAGCATGAGTGTCTTTCACCAAAATGAATGAATATAAAGATCACCAAAAATGAATATATCAGACTTCAAATTTTGTTCCATTACCAATTCACTACATATCTATTTAATAAGGCAGGTAAAAAAGACAAAAAGGAAAACCCTCCATCACGGTAACAAGCATGAAGCATGTTACACATTAATTGCTAAGCAATTGGTTATTGACGTAGTCCCTTCACCTATACTCCAAGCCTAATTTGATTCCCACCCCTGAAGACAAAAACAGATACAAAAGAAAAAGCACTTTCTCTATTAGAATACAGGACAACCATCAACTATAATTCCTGGTGCAGTAGGGCAAGTAGCCAATGGGCAATGGTCCAATTCAGTTCCCCACCATTTGAGACTATGCCCTGCATTTTGCAGAGCAAAGAAAATCAAAACACCCATAAAAGCCGTGCCTGCATCAAGTGCCGCCGATAGAACATAATTGTATTTCTGCCACCAACGTTTGTGGAAGCGGAACACAAAGAAGTTGAAGATCATTCCGGTCAATAGCCAGCTTGCAATGTTGGTTGGAGTTGCAGGGGGCATTCCAGCAAAACCGTAAGATATAACTGGTATGTTGATTAGAGGAATCCATTTTTTGTCGGGGTAGATTTTGCTAAACACCCAAACAGGAACTGGCAACACAGCTCCAATCAAGAATAACCATACGAGGTTTCGGTACAATCCACCGGGTCCAAATAGCCGTCGTGGTCCGATCAAACCCCATATAACTGATGCATCAAATGTCACCCTGTACTTCGGGCAAGTCCAAGGACTGTCATGGTGAGCTTTATCATCCATGCAAATGTCCTTAATGTTTTCCAACATCCACCAAGCCACTGAAAGGTTCACCACTCCCGCAACTAGAGTTCCCACCAGCTGTTTAGACATTCCAAAATAAAAAAATAAATAATAATTGATAAGAAAAAAAAGGATACAAAAATAGAGCTTAAACTAGGAGATTTTGAGGTGAAAAAACCTGTGCTGTATACATGCAACGAGGAGGGATTTTCATGTAGTGCCCGAGTTTGAGATCTGACAAGAAAGAGAGTGCATGGACGGTGCTGATTCTGCCATAAATCTTAAAGAGCAAGTTTGCAATTGGTTTTCCAGGAAGCCTATACCCAATCATGAACTGTGCTATAATGTCATATCCAGGTTGCTGCAAGATAACCAACCACCACTCATGTTAAAAATTTTAAACTCTTCTATGCATCAAAATAGTATGTTACAATCCAGATTCGAGAGGAAAGAAAAGTACCTGGTTGGTAGTTGCTTGGATGACACCAATTGGGAGGGTTACAACAAAAGCTAAAGCAAAAGCAAAGAGCATACCCCACCATGGAAGTTGCACATCCACTTCCCACACAAAAGACATTATTATGGATAGTGCCATGCTTCCAAATAATAAAATGAGGAACCACCACTCTGGTACTGTCTTATAAGCCTTCATGAGTCTACCATGCACATCCAGTTTTACATTACTCATTGCTGTCCTGCTCTGTCTCAATATGTCTCTGCAAACACGAAACTATGTCAGTGAGTGTCACGAGTCTATAAGAAATAAATTTTCTATAAAGGCTTTGAGAGCAGCTTACCTGCCATTAAACAATGCTACATGAGTGAGGGTCGCGGTAAACCTTGCGAAACCTGATCCAATAGATAATGCGAAGAGAGGACTAAGGTATAACTTGCTATACTTGTTGTATGCATCAATGTCAAGATCATAATTCTTGGTTAAGATCTTAGTAGTGTCATACTTTTGTCCACTGTGCGTGAACAACTGATTGGAAAATATAGGAAACTTCCTAGCATCGAAGGTGTTAAACTTCCAGTAACATATAGGCAGAATTATATAGATGAACATGATAAATCCAACTCCAACATTAACAATGGAAGACCACGGTGCAACAAGAGGGCTGCCATGATAAGCTGAAATCCCAGCCCAATCAAATGTGAAGGCGCCGACTCCAAGCCCATGGTAACCTGATCCAACTTGCTGTGCTGTTATATTATTTGGCCACACGTAGCAAACCCATGACAAGAACGTCAAGACTGTGAAAAGATATCCAGGGAGCGCATAATACATGAAGCTTACACCCATTGCAATGAGGAAAAACTGCATCCTTGTAAGTCCTTTTGATTTTTCATCTTTTTCATGGAGTGCTCTGTAGCATAAGGTTAATGATGTAATCAAATTAATGTCAGAGAATATAATACTAATAAACAAGCATCAAAATTAGCTTTGACTAAGTAATTGGTTTTTACTATTGTGTAAATTCTTTTGATTAAGATTCTGTCTTTGCCTATTTGTCAATTATACAACCAAAGAAACATTAGAGAATAGTTTCTTCTTCACTATCATAATCTCTAGGGTAAGAGAATCTTATATCAACCGAACAACACACAGCTTGTGAAGATGCGCAGTCCACAGCATACTTACTTGTCAATTTTGGTATAATGACTGTTGTGTTGTGCCCACTAAAGTTAAACAAAATGTCTTTTTCCAGTGTCTATTTCAAGCTAGTAATTACAAGTCAATGATAAACTTGATTAGCTTTACCTTTTACTGATTTAACAACAACTCCATTCATGTTCTTTTTCTGTATAATTGGGAAGTTTCTATTTAGCTTTGCACTTGGCAGCAAGAAACATCACTAAACCAATTATGCAGACATCAAATTTGAAAATAAATAAACAATAAGTAATTGGTTTTGAAAGTTGGGTAATCAACATTAGATGAAATATTTTCAAGAAAGTACACAACACCAACAATTCAGATCAAAGGCGTGTCACAGAGACACAACACAGCAGACACATATGATCACATTCATATTTACTTACATTTTTTCATATTATTATTGATTTCAACGTGTCAGCGTCTGTGTCATATTATCGTAAATAAATGAGTTACAAATTCCAAGTGAATAAAACGTAATATAGAAGTAAGGGTAAAAGAGTGAACCTAAAGAGAGAGACTTGTGCAAGGTTTGCTGGCCACCACATCTCAATTGGGTCCACCAGATACCTCCTCAGAATCCCAGCCCATCCATACCCAATTAACTGCAAAACACAATTAACAACATTAAATTAAAATTAAATTTTACTTAACAACTATATAAAGCAAATTTATCACAGAATATTTCCTCCATAAAAAATATATACTCTAAATTAAATTCAACTCATCTTCCACACTTTTGCATCATAAGTTCAAGCATAAAAAAAAAAATGGTACAAATTCCAGATAGACTTATAGATAACAAATCAAATACAGACAAAATAGCTTTTAATCTACAAATAAAATACTTCAACCTTCACGGACCTCAAAAACAAACTTGATCAATTCATCATTTAACAATCATAACATATAAAAAAATATTTAAGATAAAATAAAATAATCTTCATCAGTGGAATGTTAAAAAAGAACTAATTAAAAACAATAAATTATATATAAAAAAAAAAAAGATAATCGTAGTAATAATTAATAATAACCTGTGTGCTTATGACGATGAAGAGAGCAAGAAGAAAACTAAGATTTTGTTTGTAATAAGCTTTCATAATAGTAATGGCACCAATGGAGTAAGCATCACCACCACCGGAAGAAACGCCGCAATTCGCGAAAATAGTGATGATAACATGCTCCTTCATGTTAAACGGTCCAGGATTAAGCGTAAAACGCCATCCAGCAAAACTGTACTCCTCGGTCGGAAGAGTTTTGGCCATGAACTTTCCGATTGGGAGGACAGCGATTTGCATGAGAATGGCAGAGATAACGAGAGGCTGAGTTCTGAAAGTGAAAAACGTGTTGAGAAAGATGAGGATGACGCAGGAGGTTATTCCGAGGAACCATGACCGGAAAGTCATGACCGGGAGGGATGGATCGTCGGTTTCAGGGACGACGAGAGCTACTTCTTCAATCGGACATCTGTCGTCTGGTGGCGGCGGTGCGCCGTTAGTGGCTTTTTCTGCGTCGGGAGTTGGTGTTGGATTCTTCGGCGCCATTGGAGAGTGAAAATTGGTTTGGTTTTGAAGTACTACTCTCACAGTGAAATTCTTCTACTTGTACTTGTGGTGTGTTGAGTAACAATGTGGTGTTTATAAAAGGGTCACGGGTTTGGATTTGAAATTCCCAAAATGTCCCGTGACTTATAAGTGTTAAGTCAAAGTTAGAAAATTCAATTTTTAAGAAATAAACGGGGTGCTCCGGCGTGTGAGTGGAGGTGGTGAAAACAGTAAAGCACGTTTCTTCTTTTCATTTCCGTCGTCCGAAGCTGACATGTCATACCGGTGAACAACCGTTGGAATGTCACGTTGGCACAATGCCCAACCTCATCAAATTATTATCATTCTTCTAACTCGTACCTAAAATATTATTCTTTCTTAATATTTTATAGGAATGTCAAAATAAAATATATAATTAATATATTTTTTAAGACAATAAATTACAATCATATTAAATCTTAAATTATATTATTATTATTATTATTATTATTAATAAATTATATGACATAATTAAATAATAAATTTTCATTGAATTATCATCAAAAATAATATTTATAGTTTGTGCTAAATTAAAATTATTTTATATGATTCTTTAATGACAAACTTTTATAGTGAATATTTTGATTAACATTTATGTGAAATTCTTTATGATTTAATTTGATTAGAAAAAACTGTTTACTTTAAGATATTTTGATAAATAATTTTGTCTTTATTTTCTTTAAATTTATTATTATTTTTCATTAATATAATTTATTTTGATAATATATTAATTTTATATTTATAATTAAATATTATAGTCAATTATTTTTCATTTGACTCTATTTAATCATAATTATTTTAAATTGTTATTTAATTATTTTTATTTTTTGAATAAAAAACTTTAATTTATTTAAAAAAATCCACTATCCACAAAGTGATTGCTAAAGATTCTTTAATTATTTTATTCTCGTTAAAAACAAGTTATTTAAGAATGACACTTTTAAAAATACATTAATATTCAATCCTGAAATAAAAATTTAATTCAATTTTATTTAATTTATTTATTTATTAAATTATTAATTTAATTAATAATTGGATAATCAAAATTGTATTACTTTAAAGTGAATAAACGATTATGTAAATTCAAATCTGCACTATACAATTGAATGTTGTTTTCACAATATTTAATTTTGGAGAGATTACATGTAAATTCAAAATTATGAGTTAAGTTGATTTAATAAAAATATGTTATATTGTTAATAAAAATAAAATTAATTAATTTTTCTTATAATCATTTTTGGAGAGATTATAATTTTAGAGATATATTTATCATGTGATAAAAGTGAAAGGATATTTATATTATATTTTATTTTATTTATTAAATTATTATTCACAATTTGAGGAATAATTTTTTTATTAAGGCAATTATATAAACACCAAAAGAAGAAAATTAATTGTTGCAAAGCAAATATATCCAATCCACCAATTGAAGGGTGCTCGAGTACTACACACTTTACCTTCAATCTCCATCGTTCGTATTTGCCACATCATATCAGTAAATTTGATATGAAAATGCATCAACTTAAAAATAAGTTTTAATGCCATGTCAGCACAAATTTATTTTGCTTTTGTATAAATCTTAGAAAATAATATTGATACCACATATATTATTTATGCGGTCAAGTTATATGTATCTCATTTATCTAACCATAATTATTATATTTTTTTTCCATTTTACATATTAAAATAGAAATGAATACTTTAAAGTAAAAAAATACACTACTTTTTATATAATTTTAACTTAATAAAAATATGATAATTAAAATTAGAATACAAATTATAGATATTAATTTGTTAAAAAAATTGAATATTTTTGTCTAAAGAGGATAAATAAATACAAGGAAAATGTGAATTTAAATAATTAGTGAAAGAGAGAATTTTTTTATTAATAACCATGTATTAAAATAATATTTCGCAAATAACCGGGTTTCGGAAAAAATTACGCAAATAACCATGTTTCAAATGACTCCCCAAAGGAGGAGCCATCTGAAATGGCGCATGCACCTACAATTTTGCCCTAGGCGCCATCTCACTTGGCGCCTCCCTTGGCTTTTAGCCAAGTGAGATGGCGCATGCTCCTTAAAACTGAGAGGAGGCGCCATCTCACTTGACTCCTAAGGCAAAACTAGGGCAAAATGCTGTTTTATAAATAATTCGTCTGTTTCTCTGAAATTTCCCACACTTTCTCGCACTGTATTTTTATTTTGTACTCTGTTATTTGCGTCAGGACGTCGCCTATGATTTTTAGCAAAGATGGTTACGTTATCTTCTCTGCCACGAAACCTGCGATGAAAATGAAATTCTGGCATATTCACTCCATGGAGCATCTGAAGCGGGAGTTGATGCGATGGCTATATGGAGACATTGCGGAGGGGGAAAAATTCGAAGGATCCAGCGAAAACGAACAACAACCTCACATGCGACAGGAAGACCTAATGTGTGGTTGGAGGAAGTCAAAACAGACAGCGATGTAATGTTGATGATGCATGGGTCAGATGAAATTGTGTTAACAGTTGTAATTTCCTAGATGGAATATCGTTAATTATTCTTGTACGCATTTTATTGATTGTAGCAAAATTTGTTAACGGAAAACCCAAATGTTTACAACACAATTAAGAAAAGATTTTATATATTACAATATTTATGTGGTCGAGCCAGACGCCCGATTCGGACAGTTTTTACGATTGTGTCTGACCTGACGGCATAAACCACACTTTCTTTCCAACCTGTCAAGATCGTCCATTTCTGTTGTGATGCGCTTACTTTTGGGACGACCCTTCTTGTTCCTTCGCATTTGGTCATTGTGCCACACTATTTCGCTGTCGTATGCAGGCCAATAATCTGGTTTTGCTACCAAAGGAAAGTTGTTGTTGTAAACGTTGAGAAACGTTTCAGATTTGTAAATGTTTGACAGAAGTTGCAGCGCGTCTTGATGGGTATTAGCACAAGCGGCAATGACATGAGAGCAAGGCATACGAAATGCTTGAAACCTGCCACAATCGCACCATTGAGAAGGTAGCATGACCCTATATTCTTGTCTTGGCAGACCTTCATTGTGGTCGATTGTCTCTTTCACAATGAAGTTGTGGTTGTGTCGGTCAAACCGTATAACCATATGAGTGTTGGCTTTAGCACTTTCAGCCTTAATGTATTTCATGCAGCTTTCACTCCATAGTTGTCCAGATTGCAACACCGCATTCCATATTTCACCTCTTTTGGCAAATAACGCAGCCATCCTAAAATACGTAGATTTTATGAAGGCAGTGATTAGGAGGTTTCGTATGCCTTTGAATACCCCATTCATTGATTCAATAAGATTCGTTGTCATATGCCCCCATCTTTGGCCATTATCGTATGACCTAGTCCATTTTTCCACCGGAATATTGTCGATCCACCTACCGGCTTCCGGATTTGACAAACGGATCTCGTTGCAGTAATATTTGAATGTGGGTTGTGTCAATGCATATCCCGCATTCATAACCGCTTTCCTCAATGTTTTGTCCTTGATCTCCCTCGAGAAATTCTGGATGATATGCCTAACGCAATAGACATGCGTAGAAGGAGGGTCATGCCAACCATTTGCTGGATTATTGTAGGAACTTTTAATGGAGGCATGTCTGTCCGAGATCAAACAGAGATCTGGTTGAGGAGCCACGTGAGTCCGCAGATTTTTCAGGAAAAAGCTCCAAGCACCACCGGTCTCCCCCTCGACAAGGGCAAAGGCAATGGGGAAAATGTTGTTGTTGCCATCTTGTGCAACTGCCATCAGTAGCGTGCCTTTGTATTTCCCATACAACCAAGTCCCATCAATTTGTATAATTGGTTTGCATGATGCAAACCCGGTGATGCATGGTTGAAATGCCCAAAACACGCGACTGAATATTCCGTTGCCATTTAGTAGACTACCATCTTGGGCGTATGCTGGCACTGTTTCCAGAACGTAAACACTACCTGGAGAATACGTCTTGAGTGCATTCAGGTAGCGGGGAAGTTCTTGGTATGACTCCTCCCAGTTTCCGTACACCCTTTCAATCGCCTTAGTCTTTGCTAACCACGCCTTACGGTAAGACGGAGTGTAGTTAAAAACCGTGGTGATGTGGGAGATGATTGTTTTCACCTTCAAAGATGGGTTGTTGCTGACCAGGGGTAGGATTACTTGGTTGTTTCCAAAGAAAACTGGATTCTGATAAAATATCTGGGACACCGGGCCTCGTTCAAGTTTGGCCTCTAATCTTTTTTTGAAGTACGAGAAATTGGCTTTCTCGTTTAAGAGAAATCAGATGTTGTCTGTGTCTCTAAACAAAAACCCAGCGGTGGGACAAATGTATGTCTCACCGTTGAAATGTGCTTTGATGACAAATTATGGTGCAGAGGCCATTGCGTAGAATTATTTTAAGGTTTGAAGGTTGGAATGTTTGAATTTTATGAGTGATTCAAAGGTTGGAATGTTTGAGGTTTATTGATTGTATGAAGGTTTGAATGCTGCAAGGTTTGAAGGTTGGAATGTTTGAACTTTATGAGTGATTCGAAAGTTTATATGTTTGATTGTTTGAAGGTTTGAAGGTTTGATTGTAAGAACGTTTGAAGGTTGGAAGGTTTGACAGATTAAGTGAATGAATGTTATGATAAACGTAAGACTAAAAATTTCAATTAAGTAAGGATGCAACCCCCAAGGCTGCCAATAGTGTTACATGCAAGGAATCCCAAAGGTTGTCACGTAGCATGAGCCTAGCCTGCAACAAAGGACACCTCTTATTCGCCAATTGGAGTGGCGACACCATTCATTTTTGTACTCTTTCGCCAAGTCCAATGGCGCCTCCCTTACTGTCCAATCGTGATACATGCATGCAGATATGTAACCCCCTAGGCTGCCACCTAGCCTGCGCCTACTCTGCACCTATATTGTATGTTATAAGTCTCCTCCCATCACCTCCAATGGGCTTACATGCATTCAGGCAAGG